GATCCATCCTAACGCACCTCCTTTTTTGTTTTAGAAAACAGATAAGAGATAGCAAGATGGGCCGAGCCCAATTCGATGATCCTGCAGGCGCCGGTTGGCGAACCGACGAATATGCACCAAATAGGAAACGCCGGTTAGTGCAGTCTCCCCTCGAAGGAGGTTGCTGGTTCGATCCATCCTAGCGCATCTCTTTTTTGTTTTAGAAAACAGATAAGAGATAGCAAGATGGACCGAGCCCAATTTGATGCCCCTGCAGGCGCCGATTGGCGAACTGGCGCATATTCGCCAAATAAGAAACGCCATTCCTATTTGGCGCTTATGTGTCGGTTCGCCAACAGGCGCCTGCGGGTGTTTTCAAAAAGTGTGCAGAGACACGGATTCGGACACGCGACCCGCTTGTTGCAAGCGCACCGCTATAGCCACCAGGGGCACCTGCCCACGAGTGTATATTAAGTTCGTTTTATTCTTTTTTACTTGTTATTTAGTCGGTTTCTTCTTCTTTTTTATTTTTTATTTTTTCTTTTTTTCTTTAGTGTGCAGTTTTTTTAAACTCGATGGACTTTTTTCAGAATCGATGAACTTTTTTTAGAATTGATGAACTTATTTTAAAATTCGATGAACTTCTTTTAAATTGGATGCAACTAAATATTTTTAAATTTTCTGAACAAATATTGAAACAGGAACATTTTTTGAAACACTCGAACAATACTGCAAAACATGAGCAGTTTTTTTAGAAAAATAACAATTTCTAAAAACAGGAACATTTTTTGAAACACGAACACTTTGCGAAATCATGAACAAATTTTGAGAATGCGAACAATTTTTGAAAGACGAACAATTTTCGAAATATTGAACGAATTTTCGTAAGCAAGGAAATTTTCTGAAAATTCCTGAATATATTTTAAACATGAACATTTTAAAAAAAATAATAAAATAGAACACGACAACATTTTATGAAATTAGAAACCAAAATTTGAAAATTTCAAACAAAATTTGAAAACACGAACATTTTTGCATATTTTGAACATTTTTATAAAAGCACGGACATTTTCCAAAAAATGCGAACATTTTTTGAAAAAGAAAAGAAAAAATAGAAAAAAGGAAAAAAGAAAATCGAAACAGAAATATAAAAAGAAAGGAAAATAAAAAACCAGCTAGGAACCTCTAGAAGGTTCAGCGTTGAAATGGTTAAACGGGCCGGCCCGTTGCATCGCTGCTCGGTCGCTCGCCTGTGCGAAGTGCCGCCAGTTTGACGCAGCGAGTGGCATATAGGATTTTCCGCCCTGCACCGTATACAAACTGAAACGGCGCAACAGGGCAGATCCAGAAGGCGTGTCTAGTTGAGCTCGGGCCATCTTGCCTTTTTCTGTTTGTAAAAAAAAAGGCATGTGCATCCAGTAGCATTTGACGAAATCACTAATTACGGAGTACTCGTTGCAAAGATCACTCTCAATTTTTTAGGTTGCACAAGTGGCGCGTTGCATGTGCGCCACTTGTCGCAACCGGGGAGTTTTTCCTTTTTTCGTAGATTCGTTTATTCAAAATTTTTTATCTATTAAACCGTGCGTCCAAATCTCGAACCATTTTCACTGTTGGAGTCCCCGCATCAAGATCTTCAAAACTAGATCCCATGTTGATAGATTTTGACGAACTTTTTTATCACGAAAAAAACCAGACGAAAAACCGAACCGGGAACACAGGATTTTTTTTCTTTCCGAAAGAGGCACGCCCGTGCTTCTCGCGAAATCAAAACCGTGCCTCTTGTGGAAGCAAAACGTGCCTCTCATGGAAGAAAAAAAAGAAGAGAAAACATGTTTTTCTTTCCGTTTCCGAGAAGGCACGGCCGTGCCTCTGGCGGAAGCACAACCATGCCTCTCGAGAAAGCAAAACCGTACCTTTCGTGAAAAAAATAGAAAACACGTATTTTTTCCCATTTCCGAGAGGCACGACCGTACCTCTCGTGAAACACACCCATGCCTCTCGGGGAAGCAAAACTGTGCCTCTCTCGGAAGAAAGGAAAACTAGAAAACGCGTTTTTTCCCGTCTCCAAGAGACACGGCCGTGCCTCTCGCGAAAGCACAACCGTGTCTCCCTCGAAAGCAAAAGCGTGCCTCTTGCGGTAGAAAATAAAAATAGAAAACGCGCTTTTTTCGTTTCTGAGAGTCACGACCATGGCTCTCGCGAAACCAAAATCGTGCATCTCGCAGAAGCAAAACTGTGACTGTCGCGAAAAAATGCGTTTTTCGTGCAGTTTTTTGCGAAATTTGTTTTTTGTTCCAAAAGTGAAGGAAGACCGGTGAAAAACCAAAACATCGAAAAACCCCAGAAAAAATGTTTAAAAAGCCAAAAACGCGTGCGGAAAAATAGAAATATAAAATTCGGTGAGAGCGCCCAGAGCACGACACGTGGCGGGCGACTGAGAGCGCTCCAGGTGGCGCTGATCGTTGTGAGCCTCTTGAAGGAGCGCTCGTTAACTAGTTGCTCTCAGCATTTGAACCAACGACCAGGAGGTTCTTCACTCTTTTCTTTCTTATGTCTCTTTCTTTTTCCTTTTTTTTATTGAGAACAGTTTTTTTTTCCTTTTTTCCACTTGAATGTTTTTTTAAATCGATGATTTTTTTCCAAAACCAATGAACTTTTTTAGAATTGATGAACTTTTCTTTAAAAATGATGAACATTTTTCAAAATTGATGAACTTTTTGTTCAAAATTGGTGAATTTTTTTGGATTCGATGGAATTTTTTCAAAATCGATGAATTGTTTTCAATTACGATGGACTATTTTCAAATTGGATGCAATTTTTTTCAATGTCGATGAACTTTTTTCAATTTGGATGAACTTTTTTCAAATTTGATGATTTTTTTTCATATCCGATGAGCTTTTTCCAAATTTGTGAACTTATTTTGAAATTTCATGAACTTTTTTTCAATTTTGTGGAGTTTTCTCAAATTCATGAACTTTTTCCAATTTGTATGAATCTATCAATTTTTTGATTTTTTTTCAAAATTTATTGTTTTAAGAAAATTTGAGTTTCGTTTCAAAGTTTACATTTCTTTCCATATAATCTTTATTAAGGTAGTATTTCTTAATGTTGTACTAGAAGAAGCTCAAGTAGGGCTCTTTCCTGGTCAAGACGAGCTCCATCTAGTGGTTATTGCACCTTCCTTCTTCGTGTTGCTTTCTTTAGCCGGTACTGGGCCAGGCACTACATGCCCCAGCGAGTGCCAGCAGCTCCAATCGGTGCTCACAGCGCCGAATAGGAGCTCCCGCGTAAAAGACACCAAATAAGAATCGCGCTGGAACCTGAGAGTTCCTAATTAGCGCCTTAAGCGCCCGAAGACTCACGCTAGCGCTCGCGTGTGCCCCTGGCGGGTTGGCTTTCTCTAAAAGAAAGCCTATACACTGGTTCCCCTTTTTTGCAGGTGAAAACTTGTATTACTCAATCAGAAGAGCCTTACAAATCACCAAGAGCTAAAGAAAAATCAACTTCCGGGCCAGACCCTAACCAAGTCATGGTTCTGCCCTCACCTCTAGCAAACTCGGTTAAAAAATTACTATTTGCTAAAAAAACTAAACTACCACTAACATTATTCTGAGTACGATTAACATGAGCAATACAAGAATCACGAAGAGGAAAAAGATGTCATTTTTCCTTGCTGGGAGAAGCGTAGATTGATATATCCTCTTCCTGGCATTGGATCAACTTGACGTCAACTATGGAATCCATCTCAGTTATGATAGGTAAGTCAGTTCTTTGTAGGTAAGTCAGTTCTCCCCTACAGGATGAGAATATGATCTTAGCCTTGCCATCTCTTATACATTGGTTCCTTGTAAGTGTGCTTGGAAAAATACTGCCGGTGTAAAAAACCCAGCTATGATTTTTCTATTAAGTTTGAAGATTCATGAAGTCGATTTTTTTTTTTGTAAATTTGAAATGTTCTTCAATCTATGAAAAGTTCAGGAATTTGACTTTTTTGAAAATTTGAAAAAGTCTGGGAATCTAAAATATATTTACAAATTTGAAAATGTTCGCACATTTGGTAAAATGTTTGTGAGTTTGAGAAATCTTTGCAATTTTTTTTAAAAAAAATTACAATTCTCTATGTGTCCACTAATTTGAAAAGTGTTCATGGATATGAAAAAAGTTTGTGAATTTGGAAAAACATTTCTGAATTTAAAAAAGCTCACAAATCTGAGAATTTGTTCACAAATTTGAATTATGTCCATGAATTTTGAAAATAATTGTGACTATGAAAAAATGTTTCCAAATATGAAAAAATATTCACGAATTCAAAGATGGTTCTCGGATTAATTTGTTTTCATGAATTTAAAAGTGTTTATTAATTGAAAATGTTCACATTACGAAAATGTTTGTGAATTTGAAAAATGCTACAAATTATAAAAAGGAAAATAAGAAAGAAATAAATTAAATTAAAACAATTATAAAAAAGAAAAGAAAACCAAACAAAAAAAATAAAAAAGCAGCAAGAAAACCATGCTAGAAGCATTTAGAAGCCTCCAAAACCGGATGCCTCCCTGGCTTCGAAAGCTGCGAGCCGCGCTGCCGACGAGAGGGAGTCCGTGAAGTTAAAAACAATAGGAAGCGGCGCCATGAGCGATGAATACAAAACGCGTTATGTCTCATCAACTAAACGAAAAAACAGAAAAAAAGAGAAACATCGAGCTTGTCGTGCAGCCCACAGGCCGGCACAAAACGGCCCGTGTTCAAATCCAGAACAGCAGCAGTATTATTCCCTAGATCAGTCTCGTACAGCACTAGGTTGTTCCATTCGCTTCCGGATCTTTCTGGACGCGCCACGCGCCGCCCCCGGCAACATCTCGAACCTTCTTCCTCCTCTCTTTATACCACTCCCTCTCCCTCACTCCGCTCCGCACTGCAGAATCCAATCCATCGAGCTCTCCAAGTCGACTCGCACCGTCCCATCCCACTTCCCACCCACCCACACACAGCGAGTAACCAACCCGAGGAAGAAAGAAGCCATGGCCGAGCTGCTGTTCGCCCCCGCCGTGGCCGGCCTCGTCCACCTGCCGGAGGTGCTCGAGCGCCTCGCCGCCGCGGACGCCGACCACCGCGACCACGCCCACCACCACACCGCCCACGGGCACGGGCACGGCCACCCCCGCGCGCAGATCGGGGGCGTGGGCGGCGGCGCGCCCGTGGACATCGTGGAGACCCCCGCCGAGTACGCCTTCCTGCTCGACGTCCCCGGCCTCTCCAAGTCCGACATCCAGGTACGTGCGTGCGCCGCTCCGCCCCGTTCCCCGCATCTCTTGGACCGAACTCGTCGGCTCGGCAAGGGGTGGCGCGATTGACTAACGTTTGCGCGCGCTCTGAATGAATGAGCAGGTGACTCTGGAGGAGGACAACGTGCTGGTGATGAAGAGCGCCAGCAACGGCGGCGGCGGCGCCAACGGGAAACGGAAGCGGGAGGAGGAGGAGGCGGACTGCCGCTACATCCGGCTGGAGCGCCGCGCGTCGCCGCGGTCGTTCGTGCGCAAGTTCCGGCTGCCGGAGGACGCGGATGCGGGCGCCGTGGTCGCGCGCTGCGAGAACGGCGTGCTCACCGTCACCGTCAAGAAGCAGCCGCCGCCGGAGAAGAAGACCAAGTCCGTCCAGGTCGCCATCGCCTGATCGTTCGGGCCTTCCTTCAGTCGCGCGAACCTTCGGTACCTCGTCGGCGTTTGTCGTCAGTGATCGTTCCAGCAGTAGAGTAGTGTGGCGAGTCTGGTAGATTTGGGTCTTCTCTTGTGGTCTCATGCTCTGTTCGTGGTCTGGCCGGACATTAGGTGTGCTAGTTGTGGTCGTGTTTTGTGAATCATGCTGTGAATGCAACGATGGAGCACGAATTGTATCTTCCTCGCTTGACCGAATGCAGCCGCGTGCCTGGATTCATACGTTTTTCACGTAATCTTAGCGGAAAATAGAATGAGAACTTTGTTTCACGACTGCACGATCTGTCAACTCCTCTGGGTTCCACGGTCTATCAAATTAACTCTGTTCTCAAGTGCCATGATCTAAATAAATACAAAACAAAGTGAATTGAAAGAAACTAAAAAATGATTATGATTTATGAGGGATGCCCATGTGCTCCTTACATCAGGACTAAAATGTACAGAACAACAAGACTAAATGCATAAAAGCAACCTTAGTGATTTTTTTTATTTTTATTTTTGGCATAGAAGCATTGATGCTTCACACCAGACACAAGTTAATAGCAACATGGTTGTTGGTTCACATTATATCCGAGTGTTCTTCTATTTAACGCCAGGAAAGATGGGCCGAGCAAGGAGTAGAGTCCACAGCTTCACAGCCACCACTCTCTCTCTCTCTCTCTCAAAAAAAAGGCTTCACAGCCACCACTCGGAGTTGCTTTTGCTTCAGTCACCTGAGTTGCTTTTGCTTCACAGTCACCTGAGTTGCTTTTGCAATGTTGTTCACAACATCCTAGGACTTGGAAGCATCGGGATCTCTTAGTCTAAGTATGTGGGTGTGTCCTAGTGATTTGACTAGCATACTCTTGATGTATTTTAGTGCAACGTGATACTGAACATAGTAGGTTTGGTTCCATCTTAAGAAATGGAGAGAGTTGGTCTCCTGCTCTCACGATCTTCTAGTTGTTGTTGGTAAACATCTCTTTCTTGTTGTCGATGTGGGTGCGGTGACATTTGCCAGTCGTTTCTTCTCAAGAACGGCATGATGTCCAAAGCTCCCAGCTCTATCCACAAGTGTTGAAGACGACAAGAGAATTTTGTCGATCCTGCATCAATGAAACAATACCGGAGAGAATGTTGCAGAAGACTCCAAAATAGGGATTAGACGGAATTTCAAAATGCAAACACAACAAAATTTATGTCACTCGTATATTACACTTGATCATCTAAGGAAGCTCGATATGATTACCGAAAGCTCTCAAACCAAAAATTAAGTTTAAAAGGTATTCACAAATTTGAGAAAAACGTTCATGATTTTTAAAAATGTTTCAAAAAGTGGCTGTGAGTCCACAAATCTTATTGTATTAAAAAATGTTTGCAATTTGAAAAATGTTCTCGAATTAAAAAAATCATAAATTCAAAGAATCATAATGAATTTCAGAAAATGTTCATAAATTTCTAAAAATATTGATGAATTTAAAAATGTTTGTCCTGTCTGTCTCTTTACTATGAAAGACCAAATTGGCCCTTTCCGCCATACATAAGTGAGTTAAAAAAACGTAGGGAGTTGATTTTTTTTCAATTTTCTAAAAATATTTGTGAATTTTAAAATATCTACAAATTCAAAAATGTTTACGATTTTAGGAAATGTTCGTTGGTTCATACAATGTTCGCATATTTGGAAAAAAAATACGAATTTGGAAATTCTTCTATTTTCATTTTTACGGAAATTAAAAATTGTTCGTGATTTTCAGAAAATTCATGAATTTAAAATTCTTCATGATTTAAAAAAAGATCAATTTTCTTAAAAAGTTCTCAGATCTGTAAAAAGAAAGAGAAAGAAAGCAGATAGAAACATAAAGCCGAAACAGACTAACGGGACGTCCGAGCGCGGCGTGGGTGCATGTTTCGCTCGTATGCCCCGACCCACACAGGGAATAAGATCTTTGGTCCTGTCCAATAGTAGCTCTCTTTGAAGCCAATTCTTATTTGCCGCCCGTAGCGTCACTTATGGGCTTTCCTCTTACACGAAGCACACCCTACCGAGCACTACGTAAGAAATGGGCTGGCCCATGTAGGTATTGTTTAACCAGGCGTTTCACCACGGCTTTCTAAAGCTTCTAGAAGCTTTTAGCCAGTCAATTTGATCGATAACCGATCAATGCCATACTGGCAATGTAGTATGTACAACTTTCTCCATTTCCTGTGTTCGAGCCACACGAAGCACACATTTTTTTGCCCATTTTAAATTAAATTAGATAGTGTAGGGGTCCGCGAAAATTTTCAACACCATCAGAAAGTAGATTGACTACTTTCAGAAAATATCTACAAAGACTTTCAACACTAGATTAGTTAGCTTAAAAACAATATGTTATTTTTTATTATATTTCAAGACACTGGCCGCTCAACTTTTTTCGTGACACTACAAACCGTCCCTGAAAATGGACATGCCTAGTGACACCCAATACCGTCGCGCAAAATAAGGCCAAAACATCGTCAAAGTTGCCGAGGGTGCTGCCCTGGAAGGAAAACACCTCGTGACTGTGGACGGTCACAGAAAATGATTTTTGGTGACATTTCCTGTTTCATCACCAGGATTTTTGTCACTGAATAGAGCAAATTTTGTAGTGAACATGTGTACTACACTTGGATCAAATGGACACAAAGATTCGTTGGGTGGTGCTGGTAATGCTTACACACATGTCATACTAAAATGGTTGTATTATAGCACAACTCCTCCAACTCTGGGCAGTGAGGATGCCAAGAAAATGCAACCACCAAAATAAAATCAATACAATTATATGTGGATGCACACATGGGCGAAGCCAGGAAAAAAGGTCACTGATATCAACACGAACAAGTAGCACTAATGTATCCCCTAAAAGGCAGCAATAATATGTCTAAAATGTTATTTTACTAACCTCACACAAATATAAAATCATAGTTGCCACTATATAATAACAAAATAAGCTCTGATTACAAAAGTAGTTACCTCTCTATTGTTTACCTCTACGATCTTTCATCTTCAAAAAGTAATCTGTCACATCCTTATGTGGAGTTCAATATAGAAGTCTTTGCTCCAAGAAGCAAATTATATAGTGGTTCGTGAAATCATCACTAATGTGATTACGTTGAACATTCTTCACTATTTTCATTCTAGAGAAACACCTCTCCTCTGACGCAGTGGCGACGGGAGCGCTAATACTAGCTTCAGGATTTGATAGACCAAAGTAAATGCAAAATGCTTATTTGTACTAACTGATATAATTTG